TTATTATTATTATTATTATTCGAGTCATCTAAGTCGGAGATCTCCTGCTGTGAATTTTGTTCTTTTTGCAGAGTGTGAGGTATCCATGGTGACGATCTGCCCACAGAATATTGAAAAAGACCCTTCAACAGGGAAACTCCTACTGTCCTCATCTGCCTGAAATGTGAGGGAAGGAGCCAGTGCTTGAAGACAGCTCCTGGAGTCCTTTGTGAGTAACAGAGCTTGGTGTATGGACACCATTCTGTGCAATATATGGCCACAGATCCTGCCAAATGTGCTCTCCAGCTCTCTGTTAGATGTATGTATTTGGCTCACTTTCAAGGTTAGCTAACTAAAATGTGATTATGCATTTGTGTTCCTAGTTCTTCACTGATGCTTAAGGTCTTATGTCCAGTGGAACTTAGGGGGCAAAGTTTGTCTAAGTCTACAAGTAGCTGCTATGAAAGGTAAAAGGTTAAACCTTGCTGTGGGACATTTATAAAAATAGACACAAAACAGTGCATTCTGCTTTGTTTTTGCTCTTTACTTTAAATCAAATATACCCAGCAATATTTTTATCATGTTTATCATTGTGTTTACAGTAACAAAACTCCTAGCTCTGAACTTCCCTTCAGGCTCTTGGTACAGTTTAGAGACAGGCTCCTGCAAAAAGAGGATGGCAGTCTGTAAGGATGAAGTGACAGGGAAAAAGCTTTAGCTTTGTTCATTATTTATAGGAGTAACATACATAAAAATAGATGTTACTCAGGCTTTTCTGTGAGATTTGGAAAAGGTTAGTTGTTTTTTTCTAAGTTTTTTTGTGTGTGTCCAGGCCCGTGTTTGCTTATCTAGTTACATGCATTTTGTGTGTTATTGCTATTTTGAGGTAAGACTTACCCTGCTGTTCCCCAAGGGCTCCTCATCTCTGTACCCATTGTTCCGGCATGGGACAGTAGTCCAGCACTACCTGCAAAGAGGCTTCCTCCTCTTCATTAGAGTTTTAATTTACTTCTGTTGCTTTAATTCTGTTTATTTACCTTCAGTGTGCAGTAGGTGAGTTTGAAGACTTAGCATTAACAACGAAAATTATTCACTCTGGTATGTAGTTGATCTACTAGTTCAAAGTGAATTTTGTATTTTCTCTGCACATATTTTTTTCTAGAATCAGATAACCATAAAAGCTAAAACTTTGGATTAGAACTTTTACTTTGATGGTGACTGCTGTGACAAGATGATGCAAGATACTCTAATAGAGCACTTGGAATGTTTTTCTAAGGAAGTAATTTTCTTATCTTGTAGAGAGTGGAATGTTTATCATAATTGAATAGTATTCTGTAGCAAGAGGTGATATGAAATTGGTTAGTTTGGGGTGGTTTATTTTGGTTTGTTTTATTTTTTAGTGTATTTGTTGGCAGGTCTAAATATTACAGGGCTACTTGTGCTTTAAGAACATTTCCTCTGAATCTCTGAATTTTGAACAAAGATTTTTTTCAGAAAAATAAAAGTTTTATAGCAGTAGGTGCTTCAAATTGTCCAAGGTGTGATTTTTCTGTAGGGAAAATTACCCTTTAAAAATTTGTCTCTGCTGTTAATAAATAACCCAGAGCTGAAATTTCAATTTTCAGAAGAGCACAAGAATAGATTATACTAACTGAGAAATAGGAAAACAAATATTAACTTCCTGGAGAAAGAAACAGATTGGGTTTCCTAATGACTTTGCATTTGTTCAAGTAATTTTGTAGTCAGTTCAGGATGGATCTGAAGTGTATCAACATTTATTATTATTACTAATATCTGGACTATAACAAGCAAGAGGTTAGGATGCTATGTTTTATTTTTCTTTCAAGAGCAAAATCCTATGTTTACATGCTTTTAGGTATATGTGACTCCAATTGCAAATGCTACTGTGCGTATCATTTGTGCTACTTTTCTACTGCTGGGCATAAGGTGGTAATATTTGGATTTGAGGGATTTGCTTTACTTATATAAAAGGATAAAGTAATTGTTGGATGTAACAGTTTGAACTCTGTATATGCAGATACAGAGTATCTGTATCACAGAGGAGCAGTAAATTGTATCTTTAGGTTTTGGTAGAAAGCAGTAAGACATGTTCTTAGCTGGTCTAATAGATGTAAATTAGAGGAATTAGAGGAAACAAACCCTGGAATTACAGGCTCCTACTCAAAAGTCAGGAATAGGAGTTGGGAGATTGTGCATTTGTTCATTGCACATTATCACACTTTAAATATGAGTATCACACACACAGAGTAGTATTAAGACACATTATTAAAATCTCTGTGTATTCAAATGGTGCTTGGCTTAATTAGGCAGTCTTATTTTTTTTCTTGAGTACATTTCTTTAGCTCAGGATTGCATATATGCTTTAGCTGAAATGAGATTTCAGAGTGAAGTTGTTTTAAACCCCCAAGGACAATGATTTCTTCCTCTTCCTTCTCCACCCTGAACCACCACCACGCATCCTTTCCTGACATCCAACCTCAAAAGGATTGTCTCACTTGAAGCAAACAGAAGCGCAGCTTTTATTCTTCCTTTTGTTAAAAAAAAAGGTAAGATTTTTAAAAATTGTGTTCTTTAGCTTGCCAATAAATAAAAAGGGCTATGCTAAAGGTGGTAGAGATAATTTAGGGATAATTACTCCCTAAATGAGTTTACATATTACTTTAAGCTTTTTTTTTTTTAAAGTCAGTCACCGTTCTCTAGTTTGTATGTATCTGCCCTTCAAAATTAAGGAGTGATCTCTGCTCTGCTGTCTTCTAGAGTGGTTACAGCTCCATTTGTTCTCCTTTCTATTACATTCTTTGTCTCCTGAAACCACCACTCCCTAAAGCCCTTAAGCGCTGTAGTCTTTGGGTTTTTTTAAATGTTAATAACATAATTATTTATTCTTCTGTTTGAGTACTTATTAACTCTCATACTTTCATGTAAATATAAGAAAATATAAAAAAGTAGCTTTTTTTTCTTTTTTTCTTTCAGAGCTGCCAATTAACTGAGGTCCTCCATAGTACTGTGCGCTGAGCACAGCTTTAATCCATCAGTTGGACACAGGCTACATCCAACGTTCTCACTGGTTAAACCACTTAAGTTTAAGTTTCAGCTTTTTCACATGGACAATGAGATATTAATTCTTACCACTATGTGTAAAGAATATGAAAAGCTTAATATTTAAAAAAAAAAAAAGGATAAAAAGTGCAGCGTAATTACCAGCAGTTATTTGCTGTTTCAGTATATAATATATACTAAAGTGATTTATGCAAGTTAGAAGTGTATAAAAAATAATTTAACTACTCAGTCATAGCTTATTCCAGTTACAGCTATTGTATCACAGCTTATCAGAACTGAAATGTAATTATCAGTTGAAATAAGATTTCTAGCCCTATTTCTGTCTGTTCTGGGTTATATTACCTCCCATTTGGAAATAAGGCCATGGTAACTCTTACTGTAGCAAGGCCTTCCATAGCAATAGCAAATAAATCACCAAGTGGTAGCTTGGGGGTTTTTTGCCCCCAGTTGAAGTTTTTTGTGCTATCTTAACTTTTAATCTTGTATCACAAGGAAACTATAAATAGTGTCATCATATGTGCTCATTTGTAAAGCACATCTCTGAAATAATGGTAGCTTGGGGGTTTTTTGCCCCCAGTTTAAGTTTTTTGTGCTATCTTAACTTTTAATATTGTATCACAAAGAAACTATAAATAGCGTCATCATATGTGCTCATTGTAAATCAAATCTCTGAAATGAGGAAATTCAGGCTAAGTGAAGCATTAACTGCTTTTTAAGGCTATTAGCTAATGGCAAAGAACCTTGTTTGTTTGTTTACCTAGCACTTTGAACAACTCTAGATGCTGATTTCCTGGATGCCTTTTAACAGGAGTCTGCTGAAGGAGAGGAGTTTGCCATGACCCGTACCTTCAGTTCACCCCGACATCAAGCCTAGGAGAAGCAGTCTGAAATTAGAAACAATGCAGACAGGTTATAGGTTATTCTAAAGCTGTTTTGCCAGATTTGTTTTAGCAGCTGTGCTAGAAACCCACTCAAATGAGTTAATAAAAAAAATATTGAAGCAATATGTTTCACTCTGGAAGCAAGTAAGCAATCTAGCTCTAAATTCCATGGGATTTGCACAAAAGCATTCAAAAAGCACACTGTCCCAGTTTTGGATGACTGAGCAAGTTAAACAGAATTCCTGCAGGTTGCACTTGAAAATAGATGCCTAAATTTCCTGTGTTTCAAAAGTTCAGCGCTGACACGCAGGTTGGCATCTCTCAAAGGTCAGACAGGCTGGAGATTTCAAAGAGCAGACTCAATTCTACAGACTGTAAACGTACCTGTCAGTCATAGCTTTTGTGCAGACACCACGGGTTCTGCTGGAGGGGTGGAGCAGGGGAAATCTCACTCATTTTTTCTAACGCTTTGTTTCTTGCTCCTCTTACAGAATAAAACATGTTTTGCCCAGATCAGTCTCTTTGGCTGAACACCATGTTGAGAGGAACTCCACCTCGACTGATGGAATGAGAAAGATAGATACATTTACTTAATTCTCTACTCTGCTGCCAGCTCATGAGGGAACAGAAGACTTGGCTTACATACGTAACATAAGTAAGTATTTGTAACTTTTTTAATAAAAAGGCATAAGAAGCTTTTGAGTAAATAATTTAACTGCAGCCATCTTACATGAAGTCATCTACGCAAGCTTCTTCCAGAAATGCAACACTCTACCATGCATTCAAAATGTAAGTATTAAATAAACAAACACTTAAAAACTGAGTAATTGTTAGTAAGTCTATGTAATTAATTTCTCCCTGGGTTAATATTTAATTAAGACACAGTTAAGACATCTCTAAAAGCCTACTTTAGATCAGCTTTGTTATTTCCATATTACAGCACAAGAGATCTTAATTAATGTAGAAATATTTTATTGATCATAAACAGAATACTTCTTTCAGCAATTGAAATGCATGATGATTCTTATGAACAAAGTGAAAATAAAGCACAACCAAAAATAACTTCACATTTTCTCCATTTCATTCTTAATGTAAGCAATAAATACAATGCTATAGCTTCTATTAATCTTATTTACATAGTACAATACTTGAATGTTGCCTGGTCTCCAGACCAAATGTTTCATGACATGAAAAGGAGTATGTGTCGCAGCATTTCTACAGCCAAATACTCGAGTAGATCATCACAATTAAAAAAATACATAGCATAAATGCTAACATTAAACAAACAAACAAATAACTGAGGGGACCCTGCAATGGAACGTTTCATTAATTGAAGACAGTAGCATTAAAAATAGACATTCCCTCTCATAAAATAGTAACATGCTGGTATTACAGATACCAAATATAAGACAAGTATTCCTGTAGCCCCTGTAGATCAATACAATAAATCCTCACTAAATAACAACAACAAAAAAAGAGCAAATAATAACAGATAACTGTTTGCATGTTTAAAGGAATCTCACAGCCCCACCAAAACAGTTTACTTCCATCCCAAAGAATACAGATAAGGACTACAACATTCTGTAAAGTAGAAAATAAGCCATGAGAAATCAGAGTAAGGATTTGATTTTAATTTCATTGTGACAGAAAAACATTTTAAGCAGCAGATCCTTCTCTTGTTTGTGTAGGAACTGAAAAAGGTGAGGTAGGAAGACAAAATAGGAAATTTGCATTTTCCAATGCAAAAAAGGCAATAGGTTAGTTAACCTTATGAGGTGGGGGGAAATGTAGCTCTTCTATGGCATGTAATCCTCCACAAACCTTTTCTTGCACATCCAGCTGGATGTGGGTCTCTTTTCCAAAGTGAAGATAGATGTGTTCCTAGAAGCAAGCTGTGATTGTCCACCTAGAATTAGGAAAGTTTCTGTGGAAAAACAATTTTCCCTCCTAAATTACCATTATAGGTTTCTCTAACAGAGGACAGGGAGCAAATAGCAACTTGTACTTTAAATTAAATGATAAACATTTATAGGCTATTAAATTTGACCTGCCTAGCTGAGAAGGAAGCTTAATTCAAAATCTAATACTGTATCACACTCTAAACCATCACATATGTTTTAATTATAACAACCCACCAGGTACCATTGAAATAATTGTCTGATAATATGTCATAAAAGACTTCCCTTTTAAATGGACAGATGTCTGCCTGGGCTTTGCTTCTCAGCTGGTACCCATTGATTCTGAAAATGGAACTCAAGGCAGGTTTATACCAGTTGATGATCTGGTCCCCAAATTTAAAGCTGCTACACCAGAGCAGGGATTTTCTGCACCACTAATATTTTTCTATTTCCAGAACATTGCACAGATTTTAAGTAACACTACATAGAGCAGCAAGCAGAGTTGTAAGTAACCTCTAATCATGTTGTAGCAGATACTGTTTCTGTATTCTTACAATTTAAGAGCTGGTGACATCTGATCACCAGATTTCACACTGCTCCAAAGTACAGGATCCAACCGATTCTCAGAACATTGGCATCGATCAACCAGACAGCCTCGCAAAAGAACAAAAACCTTAGTTGTGCATCCTAGCTGAGATTCTATGCTATGAAACTAAATCATTAATAAAACACATTCTAAATTCAAATTCCAGACATAAGAACTGTAAAAAAACTACGGAAAGGTGCAAGTGGCGTGAACTTACCACATCGTCCTAATGTTTTCCTTCTAAATATAAAGCATTTAAAGCCTTATGAGTCACAAACCAATAAACACTGTGATAGCAAATTAACTAGATGCTAATGAAGCTTACAGAAAGCCTACTGACAAAAACGTATAAATGTCAAAATCAAGTTGTTCATATACAAAATGAAGTATTTAAAACTGAAATCGAAGTGGTCTCAGAAAGAACTGTCATTTTTTTGACTGGCTTACATGCACCAGATACACATTAATTAGCGTGATTGATAGTCTATCAACTCCAGCATTTACTTTCCTCTCCTTTGTTTTGGTTTATCCCCACTTGAAGGAGGCTTATCTTCAAAATAAACCAATAAAAGCTTTTTCTACTTTTATGATTTTTAATAAGACTTTTCTCAATTTACTTGATATCATACCATGCCCTCATTCTTGAGCATTTTTATCATTTCACTTAAAAAACCTACTGTTTCTTTAAAGCATAAAGATTTACAAGAACATAGATTGCTATAAAGACACATTTTCCCAAGACCTTCCTGACCACCTCCTCATTTTCAGGGAGACCTTTGTTCTTTATTTCACCAAAGAAACAGTTTATAAATTACTGTTCTAAGCTAATTAACTAAGATGGAGATTCAGTATCAAGCACTCCAAAATAATATTAATATTTTCAATCCGTAATGTTTTGAACCTTTATAAGACAAACTTTATATTGAATTTTCCAAATAATTAAAATTACTAACCTTAGTTTGCTGATTAGTCTGAATCTCATACACTGACTTTAAAGGTAATATGTCACTTGCGCTGTGTTTAGTCTTGCATGCTTTCCTCAGACCAAAAAAAGCCACAAAATTAATCAAAACTTTGCCCCAAGAATGAAGGAATAAATTATTAAGCATATGGCCAGGGAAATACCTAAAATAAAACAACAAAATGACAACAACAAATTCTGTACATGATCTTTTCCTAGTTGAGTAAATTCCCTAAGCACACAGTGAAATCCCATCAGCTTCAATGATGTATTAGTGGCTGCAAGGATTTACAGTTATTGAGGTTACTAATTTTCTTTCTGGCAATAAGGCCTCATTGATGTTAACGTGTTAAACCAGTAAGAACCAATAAGAATCTTCCATAAACTTGAGGAGAAAGAGACACTCCTGAATATGCAAAAACATTTTAAATAAAATTGCTCAAAGCTTGCCATAAAATACATTGCAGTACAGACCTCAGTAGGGTCTCAGACTTGCGCTAGTGTCTATATGCTTGATTTAAATTAGTGGAAAAAAACAAACTGGCCAAACCAAACCATCACTATCTTTGAGTCAGTTACCTCAGACTACCTGTTGGGCTTTTCTGACAGTCAATTGCTGGACACAAAATTAACCTGGACAATCTATTGTGATTATTGCACCTACTGTAACCATTTGCTTTTGTTCTGTTTGAGGTTGAATTAAGACACTACAGTATGGTATTTACACTCTAAGATTCTATAGGCAAATGAAGTGGCTTCAACACAACACAGTCTTATACAAACTTCCACGAAAATAAGAAATCCTTCATTGATTCCCTTTGTACAAAAAATTGCCAACTTTGTCTACACAGTAGAAACTGAAGAGGCAAAGTTTGTATCCTCATATAAATGCACATACATATATAGAGATATATATGTACAGATGTCCATACTATATAGATACACAGAAACACAAACATATGTATATATCCATATATATACATACATACGACAAACCTGTTGGTTTAGTTTGCATCATTCAGGAGAAAAACGTATCCCGAGTCACGTAAAATCTTCTGGCCGTGAAGTCATTAAATGGGACTTGGAGTTCATGAGCTGGAAGGGTGAGCACACGGCACCTGCCCAGGCTCTGGCAGTCACCCGTACAGCTTTTCTGTTTTTAAAACAACGCTCTCCATGTCATGGTAGCCCTTCCCATTTAAATGTTCGCTGGTGCAGTCGTGGTTGTAGCTGTAGCCTTGAACGTCGCTGATGGAGGAGACGGTGTAGGAAGCGGTGCGCATAGCGTCCGAGTGGCTGAAGCTGTGCTCAAACTGGATTTTGTACTGATTCCAGTGTCTTCGCAAAACAGCTTGGACCTGTGCCCGGGGAAAAAAAGAGAAAAAAAATAGACCTGTGCCCGGGGAAAAAAAGAGAAAAAAGAAATGCACATAAAACATTGAGAAAGGTATCGCTGGATTTCATTCTTTGGTAAATGAGTGCCATAAGAAATGCGTCTAAGCAAGTTAAGTACTAAGGCTGAATAATCCTGGGAAATGGGGGTACCTATATGTGATCCATCACATGACGTGTTCTGAAAGGTTTACAATTTAAAAAGGCATTATTCTTTGACAAATTTAGTGCAAAATAATTACATTTTACAATTGTAGTGTACTAGTTGCTCAGGAAAATCACAGATTACAGGAGGAGGAGCAGGAAGATAATTTTCTGCTTTCTCCCCTGTGGACTGAAGTCCAGTGGGGACAGGTCAGATTTACAGGTGAAAAAGGTCATTCCTACTCACCCTTCCATTCCAAAAGCCACATCCTCAGCAGCTGTAAATTCGTAAACTCTCAACAAACCATAATTTACATTTGCTATGGTTCTGCCAGAAAAAAGCCTTTCTTAATTCCTGACCATACCTTAACCAAGTGACTAGAAGGACAATTTCCTGAACTCTGTATTTCTACCAGGGTTAAAAATAAAGCTGATAAAACAGCTGAAGGCCCCAGCTTGTTTACACGTCTCCACTGAAAGGATGTTATGTTTCTCTTTCCTTCCTCTGCTGCCATGTGGTTAAACACCTGTGCATATTGGATTGATGAACTGTCACATTCATGAAATTCACATGGAATTAGTTTTTCAGTGAAGGTGCCAAGTGAGGAATGCTACGAATGGTAATAGCTATTGTTGTTGCTTTTTTAAGAGATTTTTTTTTAGTATTAAAAAACGTGCCCACAGATCATGAATATTTAATTGCCCTTACAGCCAAACTTGGTACACAAAGTCTTCCCGCATTGATGGGCACGGCCATGATGTTGAAGAGCTGCTGGGGGGACACGGACACACATTTATCCAGCTCTGCCCCCCAAGTCACAGGCCTCATTCACAAGCATGACCTTCATTTCACCTTGTTACACACATAAGAACTAAACACTGATTCCCCCAGATAAATATTGATATTGTGGGTAAACATTTTTAGGATTTTCCATATGTTTTCAGTGTTTCTTTTCTGTTTGCTTTACATTTCCCTAAAACAATGGCTTCTTTTGTCTAATTTTACTCTGGCTTTAATTATGAAAAATAAAAATAAATAGAAGAAAAGAGATGCAATTTTTAGACTTCCTGCAGTTTGGTATCAGACTATTCTGTTTAAAGGAGGACTTCATATCTCTCAAAATCCTTACAAAGAAAATGTAAAAGGGTAAGGAAAGAAATATCAACTGAGTAGCATAAGAAATTAGTATCTTAAGGCAAAGAAGATGCACTTTTACTGTTCATAAAACCACTCTAATCCACTCAAAACATCTAAACACAAATATACAAACACTGAAAAGAAGTCAAGTGTCTTAATACTTGTGCTGTTACTGCATATCAGAAGTCTGTATTTCTTCTGAGTCTAAATGGAGAGTTCTTGTTTCATCACAGGAGTTTTTGATTAATTAACTTGCATTGCATAGCACTATATAGCCCTAAATTTTTGCACAGGTTGTTTCCATTTGCTGTAATCCCTCATAAAGCCAAGAGAAAGGGCATATTCAAAATTCCATCTTTTCCGAGAAGGAAAATCAATCTGTGCACATCACTAAGTCATGTTCCATTTGTTCTCCCTCCCATGATCAATTACCTTAATAAAATTAGTGTTTCATTGTAGACACAAGCTCAAAAAATTACATATTGAGCAATTTTCAGTTTAGACAAGACAGACAACAGGCAAGAGATGGGGAAACTTCAGTATCTGCAACTAAATGGTTTAACCAAGGTCAAAGACATCTATCAGCAGAGCTGGGAAATCAACTAGAAATGCCAATTTGCAAAGAAGCCTTACACACTCGGGTCCTCTCCCACATTTCCTCCCGGTTGCTTCAGTAACGCTTGTTTGTTCATCTTATTTTCCATTGTTAATAACATTTATAAACCAATTCTAAGGGATATCAGTCCTCATAGCTCAAGAGAACCATCAGTATCCCTGCAAGACAGGTGGCTTCAGGCTGCTTCTAGGGAGGAAAGAGCCAGCTTAGCTTGCTCCCTGGCCGGTACCAAGTTGCTATGAATAGTGCTTCCTGTACAGGCAGCCACCGTTTCCTCGATGCCCGCCCCGGTGCCCATCGCGCTCTCTCGCTGCGTTTCTAACTAAGCCATGGATTTCTGGCCTCTTCCCAAAGCCTCTCTGTTACTGCTGAGTTGGTACTTCACCTCTGCCCCACTACACGTCTGTTCTTACAGGGTGTTACAGCCCTTCCTTTATTAGTACTCTCTTTCAGTCTTCGCTAAACTTTCAAATCAACCATTTGTAGAAGTAGATGGGGAAAAAAAAATAATCAATGAGACAACTGATTTTACCACTAATTATACACCGTTTAACAAGATGCATGTTTAACCATGAAGTGAAAACAGAACTCTTCCCTCAGCTTTAAGCAGTTGCACAGAGCTGTAAAGTCAGCTCAGAAGGGGTATCGCGTCGTTACTTTGCTATAAGAAAGGATAGTAAGCAATGCATTTAATGAAAGAAAGTGATGTGGTAAGTCTAATTTCTCAGTCATTAATAGTTCCAGAAATGAAAGATTCTCTCTTTCTCACCTTAGTAGTTAGTAATGGCTCTTTTTAATGAGCCTTCACAAAGGGCTCCTTCCAATCAGCTCTTAAACGTACTAGTAGCTCAGTAATTAAACAGCTCAGTAGCCAACAAGGAGAAAAAACAACCCAACCAAACAACCCAACCTTGCCTAGTAATTAAAGGGATCCTATAATCCTGCAAACCTGGGACTATAATCTTTACTTCAACATTTCTATAGACAGTGCAAGGAAAGAAAAAACCACCAACCCCACAAACCTGCCGTGGATAGCATATGGTATTATCACCACCTGTTATTAATAGCTCAAGAGGAAGCTTTCTACTGACTTATCAGAGATCTGAGACAAGCTTTTCCTCTGATGGCAGCCTATGTCACCTCAAAGGCTGCTCTAAGCCAACTCAAACTGGAAAACATGATGAGGTCCTCAAGAAGCATCCTACTCTGTGGGATGTTGGGACATAAGCATGTGAGTGTCCTTAGGGAAGCCTCGACACAGAAGATAAAGACTTTGAACGTATGCCCTTGTCTGCAGGAGGTTTAGAGCACATGTTAGAACTGGATTTGACAGACCATCCCTGGCTGTGCTGCTCAAGAAGTTTGGAGATGTTCCTTGGCTACAGTCAGTAGGGCCAACCAGCTATTTTTCTGACATTTCTTAGTTTCTTTTCAGTAGAGCTCTCTGCTAGCAGATGACTTTTATTCACTTTTTGGCCAGAGGTGACCTGCAAGCTGTCACTTGAACAGGGTTTGGCTCCTGGTACTTGGTATAGAAAACTTTAAAAGGTACAATAGCAGTTGGGAAATTCTAAGAGGTAGAAAGAAAGAAATCAGTGCTTTTAGCATTTTTAATTGCTAATACTGCACTGGACAATCTTTGCCCCATTGTCACTCCAAGTGTTGATTCCAGTATCAGTATTCACCTTTAAACCACAGACTTACTGCAGACAAGCACTAACACTGCTCTCTGATGCCTCTCGTTTGGTACAGCCTGTAATGAGGTGTTGCTGTGACAGGTGATGATGAAGAAGCATCTTGTACACACCAGCTCAGCCCCCGTTGCAGGCTTTGTTCAGGCATTGTTATGGCAGAAAGAGAATATCATGGCAACAGAACACCCGTGTGCCTGCAGGCTCACACGCCACAAGCAGAATCTTTGAGTAGACAAAGGAAACACTTTTTTTTTCTAACTATACTGTCATCCTCCCCATGGATTTCCTTACTAATACACTTGTTTATAAAGCACTAAAACCCTTCTTGAACAAGGTGTAATAACAAAAAAACCCAGTGAATAGTGGTCATTGAAGCACTGAACCCAAATCATAAATTTTAAAATCAGGGTTTCAATTTGTTCAAGGAATAAAGGAGCCTCAGAAGATCCACAAGGAAGAAAAAGGCAGAACTGAGAAGTGGACAATGTTGTTTCACAGGAACTGCAGAGATTTCAAGGGTTCCCTCGCCCGCATTTTGCACTGGAGCAGAACAAATTCTCTGATTTTTTCTAAATATCTGTTTTTAGAAGGCATTCGGAACTATAAAATTTAGAAGGGAAAGATTGTGTGAAAGATCAATGCTGAAAACGGGCAAGTGATCAAATCAGATTCAGAATGGTTAATGATGTGTTCTGCTTTGAGTCAAATATATAAGTGGGGACGTGAACCTGGATCTACTTTACATTAAAACCAGATCAAAGCTGCCGCCCTGTGACCACTAAACTGAGAGAAAGCCTCTTTCCATCTTTTCTGCTTCCTTGGCAAAAAAACCCCAAACAAACAAAAAACCGAAACCATTGAGACTCAAACATTTCTGGGGGAAATAAAAATAAACCTTGAAACCCCACGGAAGTTTTATTGCAATTCAATCAACTGCGGACTTAGGAAGAGAAGGAAAGGAGATCTGCACGAGTAAATTCTAGTATTAGCCAAATATTGACCTGTAAGTAAATATTACTGTCCAATAATATTCTATAAAGCACACTGATACAACTTGTTAACATCTGATAAAAGAAAAGGTTCAGTCACATGAAAACATCTGGTGACTCCCACACATCTGCTTACAGCCATATACTGCAACTGCACTACATGTAGAACAAACAGATGCGTAGGAATAAGTGTAGGATGTAATTGCTCCTCTGCCAAAAGTGTTGGAAAAGTACCAATTTCTGTTTTGGTGGGGTGGTTTTGTTCATTTGTTGGGTTTTGGGGGGCTGATGGGGAAGGGGAGGCATTGGCAAGAAAGAGCAATATTAACAATTTTTTCTCTATGTTTTTTAGCCTTTCTATCACTTTGATCTCTGACACTGTAATTATTACAAATATATTAAAAAAATATATTAAAAACTGTTACTCTACCTCTCCGTTGAAGAAGCAGAAGATTGTAGCCACCAGTAGACCCTGTAAAATAAAATGATTCTACTTTATTTCACATGCATACGGATTTTTCCAGGTTTGAAGTAATTAAAGGTTCCTGATAAAATTCAGATGTAGATAGCAAAAAAAAAAACCACAAAAAGTATTACAAATCTAGACTTAGTGATTTTTTTTTAAAAATAAATTACTGAAAATGATTGGCACAGCTATCTACCGTGATGTTTCTTTCCTTTAAGAAATGAAAATTCAGCATAATGAGAAAGTCATTTACAAGAATATTGCATCAAGGTCTTTAAAAATTAAAATAACACGATCATTTCTCTTTTATTTACTTCACATGCCAACTGCTATCTAGCTCAAGTGAGCAAAAAGTGTTTCATGCTTCCTACCTGGTAGTGCATAAGGATGTGCATCACATAGTCATACACTTCCTCGGCGATCCGGCCTTCTGGTCGCCATGGAAACAGGACAAATTCAATGCCAAGGAGTGGAACAAGAATCAGGGTAGCCCTGACCGCTTTCATGTACAGGTTGGATTCTGCCTTGTGGGTGTCCTTCAGCTTGGTTATGAGAACACGAACAATATTTAGCAGGAAGAAAAGATTCACCTGTCAGAAAAGAAAATGACACTGAAGATCATCTGAAAAATATTCCCACATGCTGTTTTCTGATACTAGAAGCCAGAAACTTAAGAAAACTCATACTACATGGACAGCATTGTGATTGTACAATAAACATGAGTTAAAACTTTTTGAAAACACCTTTAAGTTACCAAGACTGGGCTCTAACATCTGTTATCCACATCCATTCCTCTAACTTACTAAGCAAGTATCCATCCGGGTAACTGTTGGTCTTCCAGTGTTAACAATCCACGCACCTTTCCCTCTGCTAGCACAGTAACACTACACAGGGGAATGATTTGTTTGGGTTTTTTTAAATGATGAAGTCTTTTTAGGTTGGTCAAGAAAGAGGATGATCCTCTTCCATCTTCGTATTTAAATATGGTTCTTCAAAAAGCTACTTTTTTATTTTTTAGATATAAATTTGACAAATTTATAGAGGAAAAAAAAATGCGGTGTATATCTGTTCATTCAGTTTAATAATAAAAAATAATAAAATAGTCCCAAACCAAAATCAGAACTATGCAGACTGCATCTTTCAGCTTGTGAGCACTTGTTGTAAGCAACCACAAAACTAATGCACGCACACACACACACACACAGAGATACCCAACAGCCTAAGGATGAGTGAGCGGAGCAGCAGCGATGTTAGGGATGGTTACACTGTATTTTCACTCGTTGTGCAGTAACAGCAGCCCCTGATAGAAACTAGAGCTAGAGGAGACCCTGAGAGCTCAGCCAGTCCCCCCGCCTTGCCCAGGGGCACAGAGGCCGGACAATGCTGCTTGGGGCATCCACTATGGAAGGGGGAGACATGGAGTCTGGTCCTATCTCTTCTTTCAGACAACTGTCTGTCCTTGTCAACAACTGCCTAGAGACAGAAGGGGGGAGTGGGGGAAGAAACCAGCGGACAGACAGACAGACAGACAGACAACTCCCTTCTAAAAACACCAAGGAGCTCCTGGTCTAGGAAGAGGCCTCTGTCGTGCTGTAGGACAAGTGCAAACGGGGCAGCCATTTCAGACCATGTGTGTCACCATGTCCTCCACAACCCTGGCAGAATTCTTTCATGTCAGTTTAGGTTTTCACGATAAACAGCTGCATATTGTTATAGCAACAAGGCCCACGACAGATACGCGATGTTATTTATATTCTACTTACATGCTATTTAAATCATCTTAACAGGAAATGGTTTTACATAGGAAACTACTGCATGAATTTCTCCTGGAAGTCTCCAGCTACCTTTAAGCTTTGTTTAAGCAACCAAGGTCTTCTGATTCTTTCTCAAGGGATTTATTTAGATTTTATGCAGCCCACGATCCTCATCCAACTTCCTATAGTACACATAGACAATAAGTCCTTCCTCCATTTCTAAATTTAATCCTTCTCAAATCTACTAGTTCATAATCCACACGTCTCAAACACAGAGTTTTCAGCCCTCTCCTGTTTTGGTAGCGTGGCCAATTCCTGTAATACTGTCTTTGAATGCTAAGCAAAGAAAGTTGCAGCGGCCAGGAGTATAATACCACCCAGCAAACTATTTCATTTACACCATGCTGAAATGCACAGAATTTTTCTAATTGTTCCACCTACCCACCAAAACAAAAAAAAAGGCATAAAAAAATAAGCACACGCAGAACTTGCAAACAGGTATTAGGGCAAACAGAAATTAGGGCAAACAGAAAGGATGCACGAGGCAAAGCAGAAGCAGAGAAGAGTACGAGTGTCAGCAGAAGTATGCAGTGCCAATTTTTGCTGTGTATCTCTTCTGTTGCAAATACAGTGAGAGCAGGGTGAACTGAATTCTTACAGTGATGAAAACAGGTCTTGACTTTAGCAAGGTAGTGAGTAGATTTTTACATTTAAGCAAAAGTAGGCCAGTGGAACTACTCGCATACGTTATCATCAAATGGACTCTGATGGTTTGTAAAGCCTCAAAGGAGTCCCGATGTGCAAGCTGCAGGATGAACACATAGTAAAATACTGGCAGCTCCACGGGGTCCTGAAAAGCAGCAAACCAGGCAAAGGAACAAAAATGCAACCAAAGACAGAGAAGGCAATCCTAGATAAAAAGAAATATTGGCACCTATACTTAATAGAATTTAGATTCTGCCCTAAGAGCAGCTTAACAGTGAACTTAACTGAGCTGCTAAGTCAATAGGTGCTGCAGGGCTTGAACTAAACTGTCCTTGAGTCCCTCATATTTCTGCTTCTCTCCGCGTTGAGTTTGTGCTAAGCAGTATGGTAATCCTTATTAGCACGTAGGTTTAAATTCAGTTTCAATTCCTCCTGAGGATGATGAAAATAGACCATTCTCAGCTCAAGAAACTCAGAGATTCTTAGATAGTAGCTGGCAGCCATTGCATGGCTTTTAATCTGGCTGTGCAGCTTTAGATCTCAGCCTGCTGGAGCCTGGCTTGCCTGGGCAGAACACGTGTACGTGCTCACACAGACAAGTGTTATACGTGGCCTGCAGACATTCCCAAGGCTGGGAATATGAATGCTAAGCATTCAACTTCTAAACTCCTAAGTCTTGTACTAAATCCAGCTTAAAGTCATTCAATAGGTCAGTGACAAAGCCTGGAGCAGCCGAACTTCCTTCACTGAGTAAACTTAGTTCTACTAAAAGCATTTGCATCTATAAGGGGCCATCAATCTACAACATTAACACATAACATTATTATAGGGCAAAATAAACATCCCTGTATTAGTTATATAAATAATGGCATACTTAAATCACAGAATCACATGGGGCTGGAAGGGACCTCCAGAAATCACCTAGTCCAACCCCCCTGCCAAAGCAAGTCCACCTAGAGCAGGTCGCACAGGGACTTACTCTTTCAGTGGCACCAATGCAAAATAAATCACTGGTGCACTGGCACATCTAAAACCTACACTGAAATCACTGCTGCTTTCACTAAAGTTCAAACCCGTTGCTTTTTCCCCCCCTCCTCTATTTTGATCAGTATTTGTCTAGTGTAAAAACTAACATCACCCTCTAGTGTTTCATTCCCACACTATTTCTTTAATTGTGATTGCTTAGGCCAACAGTTGTAATTAAACGGTCAACTGAAGGCAATTCCAATCTAAATGCAACCTGTGTCTGCTCCCATTTCCCGTTTCTTTGGCAGGGATCTGACCACAGTTATGCAATAGCAGGGGCCGTAGAAGCAGCATTATTGTTAACTTTATGTAATTGTAGGATTTTCAGTGATAGACAAGACTTAAATTCCCATTGGCTTCTGCCAGTTCTCCCCGGCACCCACTTGACCATTCTCCTTAAGTTCTTTGAGATCTTTTTCCTGCAAGTAGAAACAGTGTCTTCTCCCTTGTTGTCTAATTTGCAGTTTAATATTGTTGCTTAAATGTCTACTAAAGCAGGTCATGCTTAGTAAAGTGTGAAAATTGTATCTGGCAAGCAAGCTGCTTAAGCAAATGAGGGTTCTGTTCACACAGCCTAAACACATGCATTTCATCTAATGTCTTTATCCCTAGCTTGAATTGACATTACATTTTTTCTTACCAGAAAGGAAAGCAACTCCTTTAAGGTATTTTTACATCACAGACAAGATGCACAGTTGTGTTTAATCTTTGTTATTCCTACATGGTTTTCAAGTAAGTTTACAGATTGCAATGATGCAAGAAAAATGCAAGAGAAGCCCCTTCATTCATGGAAAATATAGAAATATCAAAGGTATACAGAGGTGTAAATTGCAAAGAGCGTGGACACAGTTTCTGCCTAAACCAACCCCACAGAGGTGATGATTACGTTTCCAATAAAATCAGAGGACATTCTTAATGTTGGCTTGAGTGGAAAGAAGACTTGACAGACCCAGTACAACTGAAACCAGTAGGAGTCTTGCCATTGTTTTCAGTGTGGCTTTGTGGAGGCCACTGCTGGGAAGGAGAAAATGATCTTGCATCCTAAAGTGAGGTCACTTAATGGGAGATGGTACAGTTTTGTAATTTTTACGTAAATTTTCCTGTTGTTATTTAAGCAAGCTCTGACTAATATAAATTATATCTCAGCTCTAAAGAGCTTTACCTAACTGATATATCTGTGAAGAGACACCTAAATAAAGGAAATACGAACAAGGCAATGCAGAGTAGCGGACAGTTTCTGGGTGAAACACAGCACCACTGAAGTGAGCAAAAAAATCCTATACCTTTCTGTGAAAACAGGTTTTCACCTTCTGTGTAAATTAGAAGAAAAATGGAAAGGATTTAGAATCCATTGTAAGTTTGAATATTAGAGTACTAGTTAAAGTGTCTTTACATGAACATTTATGGCAGACCTAACATGACAAGGGCTGATAAGTAATAATTCACACCCCAAGAGCCAGGGACCTCAATAATTTCATGGGGTTTGCTCTGGCTTCCCTTGCAGAGGACCTCAGGTGTGTCATGGTGTCAACACAATCTTCAAAATATAAGTTCACCAGCTAATTTCTCTGTGAATGAAAACGGTAGTTACCAGAACCACAGGATTTATGCAATGGTTTTCAGAGAGAATTCTCAATGCACAGAATGCCCTCTGCAAATATTCATTAACAATTTAACAGAAGAGGAAGTTCATGTAGGTCAGAAACTGAAATTTTTACCAAAAAATTAATTAATGTTTTCATCCTTAATGAATTTCCTTGCATGGACTAAAAAGCCATAAGAAAAGTCAACAGATGTGTACAGTATCTTTGCCAGATCAGCTTGAAGTCTGTGCTACAATAAAAGAGATGACTGTATAGTGAGCAGCTAAATCAGGTGATATACAGAATGCCTTTACATTGCAGCATTATCTGCATTATGCTTTCAAGATATTAATTATGTAGACAGTTGTTTAAGTAGGTATGTATTAGTGTTTTCTTTTATTATGCACCTATTTCTGTTTAGCACTAATCTATTGACTGAATTTCATAGAATAACTGAAGTACAACACTGATTTTTATACTGCGGAGTCTTGAGTGAGTTACCTACAATTTAATGTCTTCAGTAGCAAACATTTGTGTACTAGGGCTGGCATTAACTTGGAGTGTGAGACAGAACCCAGCACTCTAAGAGTTCATGAGGACTAAGGAAGCAGAGGAGTTGCAATACCCTGGTGGCCAAAGCACACATTGCTAGATTAGTATCAGAGCAGGGGCGGTCACAGATACTGGCAGAACTATTTCCAACTGGTTCTCTCCCAAGGGCCTGCTCTAGTTTCTCTCTGTCCCACATTCCCACTCACAGCAAGTCCTGACATTGGAGAGACCTCTTTCTGAATCTCAGTGAGCTCTGGTCCTGTTGCTCTTTGGCCATATTAGTGCAGTGACACAATGATGCTTGTCGCAGAGTCAACCTGGCAGCTAAAGGAAGGATTTGGACATGGCCCTCCAGTACTCCTGGTAATATTTAGTCCTTCTTTGTCACTAGCATTTAACTGGGATGATAATCAACATTGCAAAACCCAAGTTTCTCAAAGGACCAGGGGTCCTTACTAAGGCCAAAACTTGCGTACCTTGTGTGTCTAAGGCACCTACCGGGTTAAATGAGAGTCCTGCAAACGACAGTGAACTCTAAATGTTATCTTTAGGCTCTTAAACACTTTGTAAGCCCATGAAGAACAGCCAGAAATCACATAAGAATAACAAATTATTATCTGAAAAATGCCTACCAGCAGAGCAGCACAAATAGGACCATGGATGATGTACAGCAGATGAGTATCAGAGCTGATCCAACAACTGGAGAAAACAAACAGGGAAAGAAAAAAAAACATTTGGCATCTTATTATCTGTTGTGTTCCTTTTTTTTTTTTCCTTAAAGAAAGTGTAACAATTTTGCACAGCAAGTTGAGATGCTACTTACTTGTCATTATAATATAAAGTTCTAGCAACGGCATGTATGCAGGCAGGGATCAGTGGAAAACCTGTGAAGAAAAAACAATATTTTCTTCATATAGAAACCTGGAAAATAACTAAGTAAACTTGCACCTCTTGCAGGAATCTTTTACAGATTAAAAGATAAAAATCTTTTAATTTTCACATCATCCAAACTATATACCTGCAGAGCAAATAGGATATAAGGGACCAATTGCATTTCTATTTTCTCAGATTTCTTTCTGAGGGGTGTTATGAAACCTTATTCCCACTGCCTTGCCAGCAAAATTCATGCCAACACACAGAAAGAAAAGGCAAATCAAATTATAACATTTTAGAATGCAAAGATCAATCCTCATTAACAGAGCTGTTTTTCAGACTGCAATCTGCAATAACGCTAAATAGGTAAGTAATATTTAAAAGGCAATTGTATATATGGCCATAGCTTTAACAGTATGATTATCAATGTTGATTATGTCCTCATTGATACTTGCTAAACATTCAGAAAACAAGGTCACCTGAAAACAGATTCTGGAAATCAGGCCGCATTCAAAATTTGAAAAGAATAAATAAAGTGGTTATCTGGGGTTCTTGACACCTTGGTGGTACCTAATTTTCAGAAACGGCTGAGTACCTCTGGTCTTTCAAACACATCTCAGCTGTGTCTGCAGTGGGACAGGTAGGGGCCCTGTGACCCAAGCACCAAGTCACATTACAGCTGACTGTGCCAACGCACTGAAGCTGAGGAGAAAGCCCTCACTTGCACTTTGTGAATAAGCTGTTGTGCATTATCTGAAATGAGCAGGTTTGGCTTGTTAGTTTTGATACTGATATTACTTGAGCTCTTCAGCTACAGCCATTCTGTATTTGCTTAGTGAACAATACAGGTCAAATGGAACTGCTGGAAAAATAAATCCTTGGCCATCTCTAACTCAGTTCTGACCCTCCACCCTAGACATGGCGAGACCTCTCTGAAAACAAACATTCATTCCTGAATAAACATCTTCGAGATGAGGAACAATGAATAATTACTTCTTAATGTCTTTTTTTTTTATAACAGCAGACTATTTTCTCTATACAAAGGAGGAGTCCCTTCCTGACTCCAGAAATGCACAATCTCTCTTTCAGCAAAGATAGAGGTACATACAACTTCCTACATTAACATTTCTGAGCCTGTTAAAACACTACAGACAAAGAGGAGGGGTGTGTCATCGGTGTTCAAAGCTACCAGCTCAGCGAAGCAAAGGGACAGATGTTCAAATCCTCATGAAAAGGAGTGAGAGATTGCACTAGCCTAAAAATAGTGAGCGTGAAATTGCATACCCCAGCCAAGAAGGTAATACCACATCAAGTGTTGTTTCTCAGCGAAAACAGCCACCACAATGAGAGTATGCAGGTAAATGCCTTCACACAGCATCCAAAAGTAGTTGCAACCCATCAGGTACAGATAGATGAACTGTGACACTTTGCAACTAACCTGCAGAAAAAAGCAGAGTACAATATTAATTTTTAAGCTGCAAATATCTCAGAGCTTTAGTTGCAAAATCAAAAAAAATACTGCTTGAGTCAAATGTTAATGTTTTTTCTGCTTTTCACTACAATTACACATATATATATATTTTAATAGAATTTTCATGGGATTACAATGGTGACAAAAAAGTTGGTAATCGAGTCTGTATTTTTTTTATTCAAACATGAGGACCTTGAGATCCTCAAGCATGATGGCAGGAAGCTGTAATGATATTTTCCCTTGTCACAAATGTTGTCACATATGGCCATTCCAATCAATAGGGAATCTTTAAATTATCTGATGGTAACAGCACAAGAAAATGTATCTTGATGAGGGTAATCCCCTCTCAATTTTACCAATCGCAACATACAACTACTCCAAAGAAAAAATTATGTTTTTAAAATGCTTACAATACTTCCGATTTTAACATAATCATAACTGCACTTAGGGCCAGTTGAGAACTTGCACAGTAGGTTCTGGAACGATGCTCGCTTGTTGGCATATATTTGCATTTAACTTCATTCAAAAGATATTTTTCAACCAGAATGTTAAAAAGTAACTTATTTTATTAAATGTCACTTAACTTAATAAATGTGAGGTTGTGAAAAATGAACAATAGTCAATTGCATATTTATCTTTTTACTTGATTTAGCTTCTGGAGTCTTGCCCTAACTTTCACAGAATTTAAATTTATTGTCCAGGTCTAAATAAAAACAAAGCCATAGTTAGGGATTTGTTTGTTTATGTATTTCATTTTCAGGCCCTTCTGTTGCTATAACTCCTAGCCTTTTGGGAGAGGCTACTGATTCACACTTACCCCAGTATTATCAGGAAATGAGCGAGAAATCAGACCATAATGGGCAGCTTTTTTACTTTGCTTTTTACTTTTGGAATATAAGGGTCAGCTTTATCTTCCTTCACAAAAATATTAATTCTCATTTCAACTGTAGATGGCAAAATTAAAGCCAAAGGAAAGCAGCTAGCATCCAAAATACACTCAAAAGTTGTTTTTTCTCTGCCTTTTCTTGGTGAATTCAACTATCATAACCTCACTGACATCATCTAGAACAGGCTACTTTCTTGCAGTTGTTTCAGTGCAAAAGCGATTTGTACAAATTCAGAAGAGCAGTTCAGTATGCTCTGTCTCTAAAACTGTTTTTAGTATTTCGAAACCTCAAATGTGAAATTCCCAAATCATTGTCAGACATCTGTTGAACTACGTAACACGGATACATCATCACTGAACATTTTAACCTTGCTACATACAGCATTTCATCAAGCATTCATGTTTCATTTATCTCTTCTTTGTTACTCATGTTTGTCACATACAAATCAACAAGGCTGCCAAATATACTTTTACTTACTGGATTAGTTGCAACTAACTCCTGATTGTTGGCAACTGCAGTCAGTGAAATTATTGTTACAACAGAGTTGCAAACAAAAGAGAAAAATAGATTTTTATGCAGGGTAATCCTCTGGCAACTCAAGCTCCTAGAAAAGAGAAACAAGAACAAATGAATACACGGGGGGACAACTGTGCGTACTTGGGGACAACTCTGAAATTTTGAAATACTAGAGTTCTTTATTTTATTAAGAAGTCTTACATCAACGCTTTCTTCAGCTCCAGTCCAAATTTAATAGAATGATGTGAAAGGTAACACCTTTCCTTAATCTCAACTTTTCAGACAACAAGGAGGCAAAGCAAGCACGTTCAGTTCAAATATGTTTTCCATGAAGGACTCGCTTTGCATTGGCTATCTAAAATTATTTGAACAGCAATAATATAACATTTATACATTTATACATTTTTTTGTTCCTGAAGAATTTCCCAAATAATTATCATAGCTGAGCTTGAAGAATCTCTCACCCTACATTTCTATTTACCTACACCTGTCAAGATATTTTGAGGTTAATTCACTTTTACTTACATTCTTGTCCTTTTTCTTCCTTAATAGTATAGCTAGAGAAATACCCAAATAAGTAAAATAATGCAAATTTTATCTTGACTTTTGTATATAACCAAGTATATAGAATACAATTATAAAATGCAATATATAACTGCATTTAATTGTGTTGATTTTCAAGGTTTTCTTTCAATATGGCATTAAAATGAAAGACAAAAACATGTTTTGAGTAGCTTGCTTTTTAAAAAAACCACCGTGTTCAGTAATATTAAATAATACCCAAAGTTGAACACAGTCACAGCAAATTTCTGTTTATCTGCCATCCTGGAGAACACAGGTCTAACTTACTATCATTCCAAGAAGCAGGAGTGCTTTTCCTTCAAGTTTTTCCAAAGAAATTCAGCTTTACAGACAAACACAAAAGAAGATAGAAAGCCTATACAGATATAGATTCAGATCACTGGGTTATTAAAGCTTAATGTTCAAAAAGAAAGTAACACCCATTTTGTTATGAAAGTAGAGGATCAGTTGATAAGGCTAGGTAAAAATGATCCTTTCAGATTTATGGTAGGGGGTGCCCAGCACTTTTGAGCAAACTGAGTGGATCAGAGTCACACAGCAGGCCAGTGCCAGCAGTCAGGAACACAGCCACTTCTGCAGGGTGAGTGTTACTCAGAGAAACATCTCCCACACGCAAAGAGAAGCGATAAATGACTGTGGTACTGTGGGCACTTTTAGGAAACGCTCTTTGGTTACTTTGGAGAAAGCATCTGCTGAAGCATTTGCCTCTGTTTAATGATTAGCCAGCAAGATGGAGAGCAGTTGATTGACAAAATGAAATGACTAAATGGAGGAGGAAAATCTATCACTTACATGCAACTACTTTTCACTGTTAGAGAAATCAGAAATACATTGATAAGGTCAGCAGGGGACATGTCTTAATTGTCACACAGGGGAAAAAAAAAAATAAAAATCAAGGTTTCCAGCCTTTTCAAATAGCATGCCTGGAAAAATAGAAAAGAGATAAAGTATGGACACCAGTGATTTATTGGTAATTTGGGAGGGCAGGAAGGAGAAGAACTTTCTATTTTAATAAAGAAATGCAGATATGGAATAGTCACCAAAGCTGGAGGAGTATGCTGAAATCTGTTGAGAACGTGACAGATGAAACAACAGAAATACAACCACACTGAACAAGAGAGACAGTCAAAACAGGCTATAGGGGAGACTTCAATTCTTGGCTGCCTTCTTTGGAACTATCAGAAGATGAGTGTACGAAGCACCCCACAGACCCACGGAGTGAGTTAACACGTTCAGATACTCACAGTGCAATACCATGAATCCGGCAGACAGAGTTTCTGCAAGGTAAGCCCTGGAGCCCTGAGACATTCTAAGCCTCACGTCACTAAATACGGGGGAAGGAAACCCCTCTAGAACCCAGTGCTGCCATGCAACACAAGGAACTACATGAACCTCTGGTTGCCAGGTGTTATTTGCCCAAAGAAAATAGAAAAGAAAAAAAGTGACTAAAATACAGAACACAGCTTTGGATATGAATTAAATGATAAATTATATTCCATTAGGGCTTTTTTTTTTTTAATTTTGGCTTTCATTTTAATGCCCCAAACACATAAAGCTTTGATTATCATAATATGCCATTCTTATGTTCTTGGAATATTTTTTCCCCTATATAGTTTATATATGAAAAGAGAGGCAATACTAGATTCCAGTTCAGTGCTTTGTGTAAACAAGTCCTGAAGAACTCTGGAATTCTGTCTGCTTATTGTTAAGACTCAATGCACAGGCAAGGAAAAGCACGTACAGCTAACGGGGCCATCTCTCAGGGTCATCCAGCAGCTGTTCCTGTTGAATATTCAAACACACCCATCCACACCCACCTCCACCCATGTCTAAAAGGATTGAGAGGATCACCAGACAAGAAACAAGAAAGCAAGACTGATGACATTTAAAAACGAAGACTGTTTTTGGGTAATAAAATGTTTTTTTCCTAAGCCTCCCCACCCTCCCTCTTCTGTTACCCTTCCTATATTCCTTTTCTGACTGTTTTTCTTAATGACATAATATCCTTTAATCACTTAATTCTCATAATTATGATCTAAGAACATTTGAATGACCTATCCCTGGATTAAACCCTGTGCAGCAAAATAAAAACAGACCTCCTGCTACATTACCTATTTCCCTTCTTATTTTGACTCCTGGGTATCTTGGGCATTAGGGAATAATTCATTTCACCAATTTTTCTCCAAAAGAAAAAAGTAACACTTTAAAAGCACCCAGGTGTATTTGAGATCTAATTTTTTAAGGTATTCAAATACTGCAAAATTCAACCAGCGAGGTCTACGTATGCACTTAAGGAGAATTACCCTTGCTTGTGCTTGATCAACCACTTTTTTATTTCAGATGGTGGGTTTTTTTGTTGGTTTTACTTTTTGTTTGGGGGTGGGAGTGACATCTTTCAAATTATAGCTCCTCTTTCTCTGAATTCACTGTTCTTTTGAGATATCTCTTGCCTTTTCTTTATGAAAACCACTATTTTAACAGAGGATTTATAATAAACACACGTATGATTTAGAGTATATAATAAAACAAGGAAGCAGAGCCACTGCAGAAGTTACTTTTATGTGTCATAAATGAATTTTCAGAGAGGAAGATCAGAGTTCCAAGTTAATTGCCCATTTTATGCTATTAAACCAAGAACTCCAATCCACTTGGAGAACAAAAACTGGACAAGTACTTCCAATGAGACAATTTTCTGAAGAAAAAAAAGAATTTCAAATGAAAAAATAAAATGCAAAAATAAATTTAATCCTGAAAAGTTGCAGATATTTGAAAAACACCATCATTTTTCCAATGTAGAGAAGTACCACCTTTCTTCTCAAACTATGAGATATTCTAATGGTCAGCAATCCAGCAAATGTTGTCTGGAAACTATCAATTGACGAACAGAATAAATTCTTTGGAAACACAACAAACTCAAAGGCACCCCTGCACAATAGCAAAAAAATAAGGTCCACCTGTTAAAGCTATGAATAATTATACAAGCTTCAGCCGATACATAATACATCCTGGTATTAATTTAGATCCTTAAATACCCCTCTGGTTCTAAAAATACTTTAGAGGAACTTTACATCCCAGGAGAACAGCTTGTAGAGGACTTTCTTTAGCTTCCTTTAAGTTTTGTAATTTCCTTTTATATCCCACCATAACCACAGTCTAGAAATTGTGGTTTGTGGGTCTGGATTAATTCCATGTGGTTCTCTGAGGAGAGATGATCCTTCTACCAGAGGGAGAAAAAGAAATCCCTAGAGGGTTAGACAAACATGACATAGTTATAATGGTAGCAAAGCAGATCACCTGCTTTTGCAGTAAGTGCCACAAGCCAAGATGAAATTGGCTTGGTTTTCATATTACAGTACAAAAAAAATCATGTTTTACTGTTTCTGAACTTTTAAAATCATATTGTAACCCATATATTTTTGTCTCCTCCTGAAAAGTCTACGTCAAAGCATTTTTCCTATCACATTAGCTGGACTGCTAAACTTTTTGTGACATTCATAGGAACAGTATAGCTTTATTTTATGGAAAATCAAGCTTCTTATAAGGACTCAGAGTCATTTTTAATGTTGCTTTTGTGGAGGGAAACTGAATTTGGAAATGGTAAGCATTGTTTTTACAGGCCATATGCAAATAAATTGATTAAAAACCCTCCAAATGTTATGGTTTGTCCTCATGAAAAGAAGTCAGAAAAAAGGTGAAAAGTCATCTTGAACATTGGATTTCACAAAGAGAGGCTACAAAGTTGAAACACACTGGTTTATTGGGGATTTGTGGAAATGTTGTCCCAGAACCTGGCGAAATAATGCATATCTACATTGGAAACACTATATTCAGCCATATGTGACGGAAAATGGATAATTTTTTATCAGATATCTGCTACTCCAACGTAATCAAAGTCAAGAACATGAGGAAAGCAAAATTGCACTTTGCTGCTGTACGTGCTACTCGTGTTTAAATGACAAGAAAAAACCACGATAGAGTGAGACAGTGGGGTATAGTATTAAGAAACAGATAGCAGACCTATATTATCCAATGAAAAACAATGCAGAAATTATTAAACTAGTGCAAGTTAACAAGGAAAGCCCACACTTTGCAGTGCAGCATTTGGCAGAGATAACAACTTGTCTCTCTCAGCTCTGCTCATGTGGCAACACTCCTGGTTTCACCTTTCTACTAAGCCTCATCAACTCAACTAACAAATAGTTTTTCACAGGAAAGAAAAGTTCCCAAAAGTAAGTAGACTAATTTTAAAAGACCTGTGCATTATTTGACAAGGTGTTATGACAGTGGCAATACACTGCTCAAACTTTCTTACAAGAAGGTAACATAATGAGTTAGTGGATATGACATAACTGTCATAGATGTGATACAGTGAGTAAGAACACAGGATTATTTTTATTATTCTCATTCCTGCTGTAGCTTTTAGACTTACTTTCTTTACAGTTTATCATATTTTGTGGCTACCTACTTTGAACGTTACTGCACCTATTGTATGTCATCAGTGCTTTGGTTTCCATTTGCTCTTTACTTTGGCTGATGCTTGACATATCCATATTGTAACTTATTATTAAAAAAAACCTCACCAAACACCACAAACAAAAAAAAAACCAAAACAACCAGCCAAACAAAAATTTTTCCATTTCTTATTTTCAATATATTCTACAGCTTTCAGATTTGGGATTTTAGATTTCTCAGAAAAGAAACCTAAAATTTTATTACAATATAATGTTCAATGCCAAACCTATATACTGACTTTCTTCACCTTCTTACTCCATATAATTTTGTTGGGATGGATGGTGTTTCAAAGTTTTGGAACTGGGATTGTTGCAAACATTAATATTTGGTAAAGGATTTTAAATATACTTACTTAAAGTAAAAGAATATGCCAAGAGAAATCAGAAGTGATGCAATTGAAAGACCATGTCCGATGATGGCCAAGTAATACAAATTCAGAGCAGTCTGCAATACAAGAACAAAACCAAGCACTTGTAATATATACAGAACTATTGTTGATAAAGCACAAACTTATACATCTCTTCTGCATATAAAATTAAGAAAATTAAGAAAGGATTAAGAAAATAAAAACATTAGAGATAATGATGAGTCAAGTTTAGAAACCTGCAAATCACATCTTACTAAAATCTCTTTCTGTAGGACACACAATAGATTCATCGGTATAACCACTAGAACTTACCTCTTATCAGTTGAAACATTAGATTTCTAATATTTACTGCTATGTTTTTTCTGAGTATTTACATACATTTGGCTATTTATGCTACTGCACGGACTGCATTCCTGTCTGAGGCTTGATTCATCTATTAAGACAACTCTTAGGTAAAACATATGCATCTCATTTGAATTTATGTATTTTTTTGCTCACAGAAGTTTTTTCTTACCATTTAAATACACTTCCTTCAAAGGAAGCTGTGATTATGACATTGGAAATTTAGTTTTCATTCAGCATTTAAGGAAGTGCATGAAAAAAATTAACAATGGCTCAAAAATAGTGAAGGCAAAAGAGGCTTGTTAAATAAGCCCACATTCAAAATATAGAACTAAGAAAAGCTGGGTAGATACAAAAGGCAAAAATAAGGAACTAGTAAATTAATATTTGGAATATGTACATGTTATCATTAACTCATTGAATTAATAAAAAATTAAATTCCACCAGTAAGAAACCCCTGCTTTCAGTCATGGTATCTGCCTCACAAAATTTCTCGTTGCATTACATGTAAGATTATTATTTTGCACATAATGAAATGAAAATATTTAGGCTGAGCCTTACACTATCAGAATAAAGCACAACTATATGGATTCTATAGGAAGAATTAGAGCATACGTACAAATGCTCATGTACTCCAAGCTGTACGTATCCTCTGAACTCATTATTCCAATCTTAGACAGACTAACTGCAGCTTGCTACATAGATTGGCTCTGGAAATATTTTTTCAGATTGTCATTAATTTTTAAAATGAGATCATTTTTTAAAAAATAAATAAATAAAAAAAAGTAATGCAATAGGGCTAAGTGAATTTCTTATAAAAATGTGGAAGTGAGAAAAAACAATGGTTACCTCTGAAACACCAAAGCTTGGTTACATATATGTAATGACAGCCGTTCTGTGACAGGCCCATACCCCATAGCACCACCTCAGTCAGTGGCCAATTTAGGTAACGGTGCACGTTAAGGATTGAGAAGATTTCCGCACAATTTAGAACTGGCACGAAACAGTGGTACAGCAGGGACTGCTGATGAGGGCAGGAACAATAAGAACTGAACAATGGATAACAGTCACATTTATTGTGCATTATCTAACTCGCCTTCCGAGCAAAGGGAAAAGATAATGCTTTTTAATATAACACCACAAAGAACCATGGCAAGCAGTAAGGCTTTCTTTGGAGCTATTATTCCACTTAAACAACAGCTTCTGCTGCATGACAGAGTTGAAATATACAGGCAAAACAGCCTGAGGGAAACTAGCTCATTATTCATAAAGAAGGACCTGCATGGGTTGCTCCTGTCTGAATAATATTTTCTCAGTTTCCAGCCAAATAATAGAAAGAATAGATGAATTATAGCATCTCTGCTAGTAGAATTAAACTGCTATTTGTGTATTCAATGTCTCATTATTTGATTACCACCTTTTCTCAATATGGTTTCTAGGTAAATACCCTAAAGCACTCTTGACAGCACCGGTGCAGGCAGTTAGGATCTCTACTAGATGTCAGTATTCTTGACACAATCTGCTATTATTGATTTCTTTTCCATAAAGTCCAAATTGATTTACAGTCTATCCTGACCTGTATTTTATATTCCTAGTTCTTGGGCATTTGCAGTTTCAGTTTACTGCTTCTTCCCGTCACTGAATGTTTCATAAACATAAAGGATATCAGTGGATATACAGTTGGGGACAGGGGTGGGGGTAAAATATACAATTTTTCCCATTATATCCTCACATATCACAGAATATCTCAGAATGAGAGCCATTTGGAGGTTCACCAGATTTTTTTAAATTTTATTTTTATTTTTCTAAATCTGTCGATGGATGGGCATCTTCAAGACAAACTGAAGTCTATAAAAATACCATCTATACATATACCCACAAGGGTATGTGCACGCATAGAGTCTACCTTTGATCTATAGAAAACAACTTTCTCGAAGCACTTTGCTGCTTGGCCTGAGGTAATTTTGGATGTTTGCAAAATTTCACTTAAATAAACTCAAAGTATAAGTTTTCCATTCATATGAGCAGCTTAATCTCTCAGAAACCGAAAAAAATGGCACTTGGGAGGTCAGATACAAGACACCCACAGGAAAGGAACCACAAGGAAAATCAAACCCTAACCCTTCTCTTCATTTACTTCCCTTTGGTGTCCAAAGATCCTGTGGTGAATCCACTCAACTACAGCTTGCCTACACTTTTGTAAAATAAAAAAAGATTTTCTCTGCTTTTCACACTAGGGAAAAAAAGAACTAACCCCAAACATCTGAACTCTACATAAGCTGCCCTGAAGATGGATTCATCCCAAGTAAAAATCTGGTCGTACACCTGCCAAAAATCTGTCACTATGAGTTAATTGGATAAACCCAAGCACTCAGCACGTCTTCCAGAGATGTGCAAACCTCCTGCAGTTCTGCTGAACTTGGACCCTACTTGAAAATTACAGAGAAAAATGTAAAGGTCTGCTCTTATAAGGCATTCACTTTGCTTACCAGTAGATGACTGTGGATGATGCAGACAAGTACTAGTACCTACACATTTAAAATACCCATAAACAAAAATATGACCATATTATTCCACCAGTTGAAACCATCTGTAAAAGACAAAGCAAGTGGGCTGGAGTTCTTTGGCTCTGTTTTGCACAATTCCTCCTTTTTATTCAACACGATTTCTTCTTTCTGCACTTTGATGTTGCATCAACTCTGCTGCCATTCATGTTTTGAAACTTGAGAAATTTTTCAGATCAGTTTCTTGACACTGGTAACATGCATTTATTGCTTTCCTACCTTCACTTTTTCATGCGTATAGATGTTACACTGTGTGTAGTTTGTCCATGTCCTGTTGCTTTCTGGGTGTCTAAACCAATTCCCACTTGTATCACAGATCTTCGTAACTTTTTCTACAGTCAAAGTAGATGGAAAGAAAAAAAAAGAAAAAGAAAAAGAAAAACACAAGTCAGCACTGAAGTCCTACTTCCTGATGTGCAGTATTTAATGAAGAAAGATTGAGAAACAAATGACAGCTTTATTAATATGACCAGAGAGACATTGCTTGTTACTATGAATTCTAAGAAACTAAAGGCCATCTCTTTTTCTTGGCAAGGGCAACTGATAGCATGTTTTTCTTAAGCAAACAAATAGATTTCCCTCCTCCAATCCACTAAGTATCAAAATATATCAAAATAACTCCTAGAGAATGACCAGATGAAGTGACAAGAATATTTAAATGGCTTGTTTATCATCCAAGATCTAAACTGAGATCTGACATCCTACCACTGTAAATTAGGATTAGACAGGCAGCAAAACATCGATAGAGAAACTGCTCAAGAATCAAACTGGAAAATTTCTGGGATCATGTAATGATTTCTACTATCAAATAGAAAGTGGCATGAAAGGACCCTGGGAAATACCAAATGCAGCAGAAAGAGACAAGAGTGGAAGTCTATGACATTTTCCACATGCTCACAGATGCAAAGCTTAGCCTACAGAAACAGGGAAAGATTCACTTGTGGGAGAAACTTGTCAACTTCAACTGCTAAACTGAGGTAAAAGATAAGTCATATTTCTGCTTGTCTGTCAGAGAGGAAAGCTCATCTCTAAGAGGAAAAAACTGTGATCTAACTTCAATTTCTATTTCCTAATCTACATAATCCCTCAAGGACATATTTCAGAAAAGCAAATAAGTTTTATGTGATAAAGATAAAATGCAAATAATGGGTTTGGAGTTACTGAAATTCTGGAGCATTAGGGAGACTTGAGTGGGGCAAACAGGAGGCATCAAGCACCCAAAATTTCATTTTATTAAGAAAAATGTTGATGTAGAAGCTTGTGCACACTTACCTGATGGGTTGAAATCCTGAAAGTAGTCAGGACAACGCTGTACTGACACAGTTCCAGCAGCAACATCACTCCAGCACAACCAGCCATCCCATGTCCTGTTACAGTAAGGACCTGTAAACAAGTAGACACTTGACAATAAAATAACAACCTTTCTCTCATAACAGTCTTTCAAAAGTAAGATGTAAGACTGCATAAGGTAAGTTTCTCACAGCAATGAGAAAAAAATAAAATAGAAACAGAAGATTTCTCAATAGTTAATTCAAACTCCACTTCATAGAAATAGTTTCCTAGATGTAAATTTCTTTTAAGACATTTTAAAATCCATCATCATTCACCTTGAAACAATCTACATGCAGGATTTACGAACCTCAGATCTAAAGCACCATAGAAAAAACAAACTAAATCAATTTTGACCAAATAATACACATTAACAAGAAGCTTAATGCTTGCAAAGACCATTTTACTGAATTTATTTACATTTTGGATGTGTACCAAGCTTATACATGTGTTTACCAGTTAACTGAAAACACAGTGGCATTCCATCAGAAAGCCTGGCTGGGAGGCAGCCATGGCTCCTCTGCCTCAGGCAGAGCTGAGCCTGAGGCAGTTATTGTGGACAGACACTTCTCTAAGTGCTCCAGGGACAGAGAACCCACAGTGTCCCCCAAGAGCCAGTTTCAAAGCCTCATTGCACTCACACAAATTTTAACATTTAAAGTAATTGCCCCTTAGGCATGAGCTGGGTTTTCATATACAAATCCTCTTCCAAAAGGCACACAGAATTACTGACCCTCTCTACAATTTTGAAGGTGTTTTAATATCTTCCTTCAATTTCTTTTTAAAACTTGGTAGTGCTTCCCCCCTGCTGTCTCAAAGGCTGCATGTTTCAAACATCATGTAATTGTTACTCATCTGAAGATTTTCCAATTTGTCCTTATGAAGGACAATGTCCTTATGAAGCTGTGATGCCCCAGGTGGGACATAAGCTTAACCTGTCATACTCGTATCCATTTCTGACCTCCAGACATTCAGTTCCTCCAAAGAATCATTTCAGAAGAAGAAAAAACTCATTGTAAAAGAATACAATTACCTATCCTTGCCTCACAATCAAGTCAATATTTCCAGAAGTTATAAAGTCAGAAACTGTGAATACAGTAACAGGGAGAGTTACTAAGGTTAGCTCTGAGTTATCAGAAAAGGCATTAATGGCACTAACACAACCCTCAGAGCAGGGAAATTATGTGTAACAATATACTTTCAGTTTTTCAAGGCAGATGTGACCAGGAAGACAGGTACTATAAGAGCACAAAATGAAATAAAGCAGTGAGATGAATCAGTCATAATTTTTTTAAATCTGGATATCTATTTAAATTAACATTATATTATCTCATGAGAAATGAAAGCTTTGTGTTATATAAGAAGTGGTGCTATGGGCAGGTAATATAACATTACTTTATCTTCATGAATCCAAGTGATTTCTAAAACATTCTATAAATACAGTTACAGCCTGAAAAATGATTGCTGCCAAGACAAGAAATTAATATAACTGAAGGATCCTGAACTAACAGATATCTGTTCAACATTTGCCTTTGTAAAACCTTGTAAGAAAATAGTCTTTACCTTCTTTCCTATGAATAGGATCTTGCATAATTTTCTGGTAGCATTCATACTGTGCTGTCATAATTTTATTCCGTGTAACACTCAGCTGAGTGAAGTCCTCTGTCATATTCTGATGCCCTTCAGATGGTATAGCACTGACAAAAAACTAAGAGAAAAAAGATATATTTTTTAGCAAGTCATCTACAGACTTCAATATAAACTTCTTAAACTTCAGTATTTTTAAATATTATATTTGAAATACTATTTTACTGAAGGAAAATGAACTTCAAATCTTATTAGTGACTATATGATTTTGGGGTTTTCTGGTTAATTTAGCAATTCTTCTTACTACTGAATCTTACTATATATGTCCTGAATGGGCATGGGGGAGTAGCAATCTGCAAGATTTGTAAATAATTATGGAAAAATGCATAGAAAACACTGAGATGATCAGAAGCATATAAACAGCTTTTGCAAAATCCAGTAAAATATACTGAAGTTACATCAGTCTAAAAGGCATTTGAATCAGGCCCAAAAATGATTCTTTATGAAAAGAGACTTTCCATATACTGTAGGATTGAAGCTTTCAGCTTCTTAAGAGCTATTTGGTTTCTCTACAGTCTTGAGAACCATAAAATCAACCCGCAGAATTGAAAAAGATATTGAAAGGCATGACATCCACTTTTATAATTATTAAAAATCATTAAAAAAAAAAAACAACTAAGAAAGTGGATCTTGATCAAAACCTGAACCTTTAAAGTGCATTTTTTCAAGTAGTTAAGTATTTTTATGGCAAGCTACTAAACCTCATGGAAAAACGAAGCTGCAGATTGAAATACTGTACCACTGTCATAGAAGGGGTTAAATTAAACGTTCTAAGGATGTTATCTGAATCCAAGTTAGATGTATCCTCCACTCTTCCTGGGGTCTGGACAGTAATGCTTATATGTCACTTGCCAACTCTTACTGTAAAGTTCTCTGCTAGCAAGGGATATGCTGGGTTCAGCAGAGATAAAATACTATTTCTGTTCCTTTACCACAGGAATTAAAAGGAGAACAGAAGGTAGATAAAGATCCTGCTGTGCAGAAACTACATTTGAGCACGGGATTAGCTGTTTCTGCATTTCCATATTAATAATTTATATGGTATTCTGTACATACTTGTTAAAACTGGAAGTGATTTAAAAAATTCATAAGACTCACCATAATAACTGATAGGAAGGACAGCAAAAACGTGATCCAGATTTTTGTCATTTTTATATCCGGTGCAGTGGATTTTATATGGTAGTTGAGCGGAGTCAAACTGAAATGGAAAAAAAGTAGGAGGAAATTTAGTAATTCATGAAAGCCAGAACTGATGAAGGACTTAGTATTTTCTTTCTGAATTAAAACAAATCGTTGGAGATCCCTTCATTTTTAAATTCACACATAGTGATGTCATGTGTTATACATGGAGATGTACAATATGATGTGAAAAAAATGCTTTCAATTCGCCAGCAGTGAATTCCAGCAGCAGCGTTTTTCCTGCGCTGCTGCCTCCTTGCCTCAACTAACACCAGTTCTGCAGAGGGTTTATCTCAGGCAGGTAGGTGGTATCAACTCTAACAGATATGTAGCAATAAGCCCTAAGATATGAGTTGACTCTTTGACATCTCTGCCTTTGGGCAACCATAGCAAACTACAGTTCAGTTTACTCTAAAGTAGACTTAGATGTCCACAAACACGAACACAGTTATTTTCTGTTCTCTTCGCACACACTGATCTTTGATTTTTTCATTTCTGGAAGAACTGATCCAGGAAGTAGCCACTTTATCTTGAAGTTACAGCTTTGCAAGGATGACAATGGCAATGCAAGAATTAATTGTGAGCAGTAGACTATTTTCTGTATCTGCAGTAGCTGTAAACTAGTTACTGTATCTGTAGTTTGACAAAAACAAAACTACTCAAAATCGCTATCATCGTCTTACAGTGCAAACTATTCTTGGAATTGATTCTTGAAGTGTAAAATGCACCTAAAACATACAATATACAAAATAATTTATTAAACACCTAGACTAACTATTAAGCATAACACTGCTATGACAACTCCTCTGAAAGAAAGGGAAATGTGTAAGAGATTTCCCATGCAATATTTCACTGTGTCCTCAAGTATTCTGAGAAGACCACAAAGCTGAACCTGGAACTGAGATAAGAGCTTCTCTTCTGCTTGTATGGTAGCAAAAGACCTCTCTGCTTTTACAACAAAACTACCTTTCAAAATATAAGTATCTTGCTGTAGCAGCATTAACAAAGCTATTAGCAGGGGACCACATCTAAGTATTAAGCTCATATGTACAAAATTCATTAGAAATAATACTGCTACTTAAGATACAAAACTCACCTACCCTAAAGGTCCCTCATCTACCTGTCTCAAAGATTCCACTACCACCAACTCAACAGGACTGTTGGAAGGTGAGCACTTACACACAGACCTGCCTCCTGACCCAAGCCACGTTCTACCTTGGATCACACTTGCTCTTGTCTTTGGAAGTTTTTCTTATTCTGCAGTCACGTTCTACAAGAGACTGGTGGATGACAAACAACTGATAGTACATTGGCAAGCAGAGGTAATTTTACAAGAAGCTCATATTTAAAAAAAAAACTCTGTCATTAACAAAAAGCAAGCATTATATATCTACTTCTTTTCTGCTTTTACACTGAGACCAGCTCCTCTTAACACAACTGTAATATAATGAACAACATTATGTAGGATATACTGACTACAAAATATGATATCACTGCTATTTATTGTATAGCTTGATGCAAATACAAGAAATGTGTTGGAAAATCAGTGACTGTTGTGCCTGTCTAACCCAGACTAAAACTGTACCAGTAATCTTCCCTCTATTTTTACCACTGGCATGCAATCCTCTAGCACTGATTACTGGAAATTGCACAGGTAATTCAGTGAGACACTGAAATTCAAATATGCTGTTCTGCAGGCTCTTAAAACACTAACAGGAAGATCAATTAGCATACATGAAATATATTCTCAGTTTGAGATAATACTCCTCTGGAAAATCCATGTGTGACGAGAACTGCAGTGAACAGATAATTGTAGAAATCACTACCTGTTAACTAAAGAAAAATCTAAATATCTATGTATAGTGACTAAAGATTGACTGGAACCCAAATATAAATGGAGATGTCTCAATTAGCAAAGAGGCAATATGATTTCAATTCTGCATGATAATTGAGGGCAAGGGAGATTAATTCAAACCTGTTACAAGTCTTCAGTCATTTATAGTTGTGCTTCGTTACCTATGAAAGGAAAAAAATTACTGGTCTTCTAATTAACTATTTGCATGTAATCTTCTCTCTCCAAAGTATGCCAAAGCACACCTGCATAGGGTTAAAAGCTAAAAACAATGTGCATATGATCAATCAAGCGAAGCATGATTGATTTACCATATTTTAGTGTGTGTTTTTCTATATATGTATACAAGAGTTCAAAACAATTTTCTCTATAATAGTTCAAAAAATCTTTTTTGCTAAAACAAATGTTGGATGCAAATTTAAAAGGCATATTCAAATATTGCTCTCACTTAGCTTTGCTTATTTTTCTTTACCTAAAAGATACAATATCATATAAATAAAGGCAGAATTTATCTGCTTTGATTCACAGTCCATGATTATTTCTGTTTCACATTATCAAAAGCCACCCCTCAGCTCAGTTCTTTTAATGGTTCAAATGTTTTCATATCTAGGGGTTTTGTAGACATTTCCTATCAACTATTTCAGTACCCAGTGCTAAATTTTTAATTCTTCCCAGGAGATAAAAGATTAAGTCAAGTCTATAATTCACTTTACGCTTTCCACTCATTTCTCACAGTTGCTAACTGCCAAAAATTTCTCTCTCTCTCTATATATATATTAAAAAAAAAAATTAATATTTTTTTCTAAACATCACTACTTTTGGACGTAATTACAAAATGCAGGATGAAGGTCATTCAGATGCCTTTTTGGACTTCAGTAAAGCATTTCTTTCATTACTACATGAATTCATTCACTCAACATTAATTCCAGTTAGTTTGGACATGAAATTTCACAAGAATATTAAAAACTTCCTTAAGAATGGACGGCAACACAATCCGTTGATTGAGCCAGTACTGCTGAGAAAATCAGCTGCTTTTATTAATCTATTAATCATCTGTTCTGATGAGATGCAAAACAAATATAATTCTCAGAAAGTTCTCTCCCTCTCAGAGCTGGGAGGTATTTGATGCACACAGAAAATAAATCAATAATTCTTAGGTTTCTTTAATAATGCTTCCCAAGTTTTTGTTCTGCTATTAAACATCTTTGACAATTCTACTGTGGGAAGAGAGGACTGAGATTGATTTGAGTGTATTACACATTAGCTTGAAGGAAAAAGATGGTGGAACCTTAGACAGAATTCCCTGACTACACACTGTGACAGTAAAGCCAGCAGGACTGTGATCTACATGGAAGGTACTGAATGAAACTGTAAGTCAGTGGACACAGCACTACAATTAACAGTTCTGTCTTAAGTATTTTCCCAGTAAAAGGGAACATCAGTGGGAAAAGAATAGGGAATTGCAAAAGCAAATCAGATCGTCAAAACTTCTTTTTTATTTTTAGTGCATGTTATACTGAACACGGGGAAAACTGAAAAAAAAAAAAAATTAATTGCCTGTTTTTCCTCTTTATTACATTCTTCATTACCCAAATTAATGATACTCCAAAAGCCTGTATCGTGTTTGTCACTGATAGCGCTGACATCTACTGAAGAAGAATTCAAAAGGAACTGCAAGCTGAACTTAGCCAAAATAATCACTGCTATAGCTTTAGCAGATGTTCACATTTCTCTTCCTCCTGCTTTCTCTACAGAGCCATCCTGCCTAATCAGCTGTTTCTACTTTTAATCTTGTCCCGTCCTCCTAAGAATAAATGTCATCGTTGCTGAGCTCCAGACACTTCCCATTTCAATGATACAGCAAAAGGGTTAAAAAAGTAGTCAGCAAGAAAAATAATTTTTTGAACTTTAATCAGCTGACCACCACGTTTTGTACAAAAGAAAAACCACAGGCAGCTTCTACTTTAAGCAGTTTCTACCTTCTACTTAAGTTTGATTTTAAGTCAGAACGCAAGTCTGTAGGACTGTGAAAGGAGGGCCTACTTATGTCATTGTGTGTACATTCATACACATGCACAAACATTTTTCACTAATTGGTAATCTTTGATTTGGCCAAGAAAACAAAAAAAACCAACACCCAAATCCCCAAAATATTTTTAGTGTAAAACACTTATCCTGCAGTGTGTTATAATCTTGCAACACTGAAGTTAAACATATGCAAATATACCCTCCCTCACAGACTGAAATTGGGAGTCAGAATGGATATATTCTTGCCAAAAACTAAACCCTCTTGTTTTTATTCTGGTACTCCCTGGTTTTGTTTCGTTGTGATATCTTTCAAAATTAGCTATACACGCTATTCTGTTATTTCTGCTTTTTTTAGAGGCAGGCATACAACTCAAAGCATTTCAAACCCCAGGCTATGTTTGGTTGTTTCGGCCCAAGACACAAGCAAAAGTACAAGCTGGAAAATGCCCAACCCTTTTCAAGCATCCCTAATTTGAATTGCTTTAGTACACTGTTAAAAAAGCCAGTAGTCTCACATGGAACTACAGATCCACTTACATCTCCTCTCACATAAACTTTGTGGGAAATATTCTGCCCATTGAGGGGCAGATTCTCACCTCACTAAAAAGGCTTTGCAAGTGGGCAGTACCAGCCAAACATTAATATACACCAGATTAATGTAGTCCTACAAGTGGACTACAAAACCTCCACACTTCTCTTAGAAAGCAATGCAAGGCAATTTGGAAATCTTCCTAATCAGATGCAATGCCCTCATTTCTGAAGGGACCACTTCTGCTGGGATTTGGGCCCATCTGCTCTGATGGTATCACACAACAGCCCACAGCTGTATGTGTGGGAATTACTCCATCCTCTTAATAATATGGGATTAAGAAGGTTCAAAAACAATAGTTATGAGACAAATTCTGGGTAACATAGTTTCACAACACTAGAATTCCCTACTCACTGCCCAGGCATCAGCAGCTGCAGATTCCTAAAACATGTGAGACAGGAGATCAAAAGAGTTTGATCTGCCATGAGACAAGTTTTACAGTACAGAAACATAAACTCTTCACAGCTTCAAATGGATTTCACTGCACTATTCTCTTCATTCAGTTAGTGACAGGGCTTGGGTTTTTTTCAAATATATTCTTAATTTATAA